TGTCCAAGAAAGAGCCCTGGGTCCCAGGAGCTACTGTTACTGGTGGTTTTGAGTGTGCTGGGAACTGAACTCAGGCCCTCTCGAAGAGTAGCAAATGCTCTCAAATGCTAAGACATCTATTCAGTTCCATTACTGTTACTTTTAATAACTTTTTTCAATAGTACTTACCAAAAACCTAATAAAAATTGCATATATAATACAGAAAAAACATTATAACACTATAATATTGATAAAAATGGTTAACTCAGTTCCTGGAGATTTATTAGGAATTCTTTAAGTACATCTTTGAACAGTGCAGTTATTTAGGAACTACAGATGCACATAGCAGTGTGGATGGAGCGTCACGTGACAGGGAGGGAAACTGGGGAACTGGAGCCTGAGTCACAGGCCTAGATCTCTGCTCCTGCTGCTGTTTGCCCAAGGTATCAACAGGCCCTAGGTTAGGGCTGGTGCTAACCTGTGCACACAGGATGATACAAACCAAAGAGAAGTGGTTTGTGCAAATCCCTTGAGCCAGCGCTGACTACCAGCGGCAGGAAAACTAAACTACCAGCCAGGCCTAGGGCCACCTGCCAGTTCTGCAAAGTTTACACAATAAACACTGACACACACACAAGGCATCAAGGCACAAGCTTGAGGAACCTGGCCTCACACACTGATGTAACTGACATGATGACTGTGTAACAGACCCGGTTAAGGTGGTCACATCCTCTTCATGAGGATGCCTCAGGAGCGTGAACCAGGAGAGCCATACCTATAAACCTGTGCAAAAGCTGCCCAAGTTTTCATCAGCATCAAGAGCGTGCAGGGTGTTTACCTGTTGATTCTAACACACTGATAGAGATCATAACAGCTTGCCTTAACTTTTCCTGTTTGGAGTTGTCAGTTATCTGATTAGAAACAAACAGCGGGGGCGGGGGCTGACCGTGCATCCTATATGAGACTACTGCTGACACAACTGTCGAGATACGTTATGTTTATATTACAGTGACTGGATTATAGAGTTGGGAGAGTGCCTGCCTTGCATGCAAGAAGCCTGGCGTTTGGTCTCAGCACCACACACACAATGGGTGTGGTGGCGCATGCCTTTAATTTCAGCACGTGGCAGCATCAGGAGTTCAAGGTCATCCTGGGCCATATACCAAGTTGGAGGGCAACCTGGGTTATGTGAGACTCTATCTCAAAAAAATGTTTGTTCACATGACTTGTAATAATTCTAGAAATCAAGGAGATTGAATATCGACTCAAGGTAGCAAATAGGACCTCCATGTGTTCTTTGTAAAAAAGAACTCGGCATGGTCACACATGTCTGTAACACGAGTACTTGGGAAGCTAAGGCAGCAGAATCCTAGAGGGAGCCTGACTAAGTGTGGTGGTTGGAATGAAAATTGTAGTTGGAAGTTTTCCTGTGTCCCTCCCGGTGGTCCCGCATGGTCCAGACAAATCTCTCTCTCACTCATGTCCCGCAGCCACTCAGACCCAAGTAAACACACAGAGGCTTAAACTAATTACCAACGGCATGGCATCAGGCTTCTTGTTAGCTAGCTCTTATAACTTCACTTAACCCATTTCTATTAATCTATGTTTTGCCACGTGTTCCATGGCTTACCACTCTGCTGGCATGTTGTTCCTTAGGCAGCAGGCTAGCATCTCTCTGCTTCTCCTTTCTCTTCCTGTCTATCTGCTTGAATTTCCTGCCTGCCTCTAAGCTGCCTTGCCATAGGCCAATACAGCTTTATTTAACAACCAATCAGAGCAACACATATTCACAGCATACAGAAAGGCATCCCACAGCAGAGAATGGCCCCCATAGGTTCATAGATTTGAATACTTGGTCACTAGGGAGTTGCATTATTTGAAAGGATTAGGAGGTGTGGCCTTGTTGGAGAAAGTGTGTCACTAGGGGTGGGCCTTGGAGTTTCAAAAAGCCTATTCCAAGCTCAGAGGCTCTTTCTTCCTGCTGCCTGCTGATCCAGATGTAGAACTCTCAGTTGCTTCTCCAGTACCATGGCTACCTGCATGCCACCATGCTCCCTGCAATGATGAAATGGACTAAATATATGAAACTATAAACCCCAATTAAATGTTTTCCTTTATAGGAATTGCTGTGGTCATGGTGTCTCTTCACAGCAATAGAACCCTGAATAGGATAGTCCCCAAGGGTGTATTTACATATTTGATGTTGCATAGCTCCCCCACACCCCCTCTTCCAATATCTATTTGTTTAAGGAAAGAGTAGAGAGAGAAAGCAAATAGTAACAATGACACAAATGTTCAACGTAACTGGCTAAATTAAGACACTGGGCTACATACACAGCAAGCTCAAGGTCAGCCTAGATACTTAGATAGACTGTGTCTCAAAAAAAACAAACAAAACCAAGGGCTGGAGAGACGGCTCAGCGGTTAAGAACACCAGCTGCTCTTCCAGAGGACCTGGGTTCAATTCCCAGCATCCATATGGCAACTCACCACTGTCTATTACTCCGGTTCCAGGGGATCTGGCACCCTCACACAGACACATGCAGGTAAAACACGAATGCACCCAAAAATCCAACACAAAAGGAAAAGCCATACCACAACTGAACTGTTAACTACAGGCCATGAATCTAGTACTTCTTCCTCTTTCCCCCAAGCACCGCTGTAGCCTGCTCTTAGAGCCCAGTGCCAGGCAACTCAGTTGTTCTGATTGCCTTTCCCTGTCACACTCTCTGGAAGGCAAAATCCCCGGTGCGCCCGGCTTCCGTCGATCCATTTCTGGCAAGGTTTGACTGATCTAAGCTCATCCTTTAATGAGCTAAATCAATCCCTCCCTCTGCCCCCCCCCCCCTTTTCTTGTCAGGTGTTCGTTCGGTCACTGTGATGAGAAAAGTAACCACTATAGACAACTTAGGACTGGAGAGATGGCTCAGCAGTTAAGAGTTTGGAACCAAGTTTGGTTCTCAGCATCCACACTAGGTGACCCACAACTACCTCTAACCCCAGTTCCAGGGGCATCACACACTGCTGGGCTCCACAGGCATCTGCGCTCACCTGCACATATTAACATAATTAAAAATAATAAAAACAATTTTTTTTTTTTTTTTGGTTTTTCGAGACAGGGTTTCTCTGTGTAGTTTTGGTGCCTGTCCTGGATCTCGCGTCTGGCCTCAAACTCACACACACACACACACACACACACACACACACACACACACACACACACACACACGGAGTGGGCGCGGGAGGGGAAGGCTTCAGAATAATCATTCCTGGGCTGACACAAGAAGGAGAGAACAATAGAAATTTTATTAGAACGTTTCATGTTTAATCTAGACCCTGGCAAAGATCTTGCAGAGTTTCACAGGAAGAAAATGAGGACTGAGTGCAAGCTGCCCTTTCAAAGTAACAAGTGGTCAGGGGATTGCCCATGTGATACATTGCTGAGACTGGAGGAGACATGAGCTGTAAACTGTCTGACATAAAGCTAGAAGACAGTCAATTACATGAAGCCATCAATATGAATAAAGAGAATACAGAGTTATGATGTTACCTTTACAACTGTTTTTTGTTTGTTTTTTTCTTAATTATTCTTGTTAAAATACCCCCTGAAAGGTGGAAAGGAGAAGGCTGGTAGCACAGCCATGGGAGCCAGAGCTGAGACACATCATCCACTCATCAGACCTACATAAGGCCCAGCTGAGAACAATAACTTCTGTTCATGTCCTGTGCCCGTAGCAGCTGACCCACCACCATGGCAAACAGGCTCAAGGAGAAAGGTTTGGATGAATTAAACCACAGAGAAGCTAATTTTAGGGTTTTATACACATTCTCACTTTAAAATAGAGGGGGAAACATCACAAATTCAGAATTAACAGACCAGAAACTGACTGAAGAGTTAAACAAAGTAACACACACACACACACACACACACACACACACACACACACACACACACACACACACAAAACACACACACGAGGCAATGGTACACACTCGTCATCCCAACACTTGGGAAGCAGAGGCAGGAGAATGGCTGAAAGTTTGAGCCTAGTCTGGTTCCAGGCTAGCCAGGGCTACACAGTGAGACCTTGTCTCAAAACCAACAATAACCAAAAGAACAGCCCCAAGCCGAAGTCCCCAGGAACAGCGCTGATGTAGAGGTCCCATGGAGCAAAGGCTGGTTGGCAGTCACCCTTCCTCATCACTGCTGCTCCAGGCATCCTCAAATGCTGGATTCAACTGAGATTTAGTTTTAGCCTAAAAAAAAAAGAGAAGAATCTATTTTTATATTTCGTAATTTTAGGCTAATAGGCTCAAAATATGCTATTTTAACAGCAATTAGACATTTGGAAACTGTATTACTGCTAATTTAAAAACAAAAGCAATGTAAAGATAATTAAATTAATATAAAACTGACAAAACTGACTCTTCCAAAATAACATGCTTTCCTCAAAGTAATCAGCTCACATGCATGCGCAGATCTACGCTATGACACTGGTCACAGTATTTCTATGCATGCACAGGTGTACACTATGACACTGGTCACAGTATTTTTATGCATGCACAGGTGTACACTATGACACTGGTCACAGTATTTCTATGCATGCACAGGTGTACACTATGACACTGGTCACAGTATTTTTATGCATGCACAGGTGTACACTATGACACTGGTCACAGTATTTCTATGCATGCGCAGATCTACGCTATGATACTGTTCACAAGTGTTTCTTCAACTCTATGGAGAAGGCACAACACAGACATGCTGGGGTTAAGAAAGGATGCATGCCCACAGCAGACTGGACAGTCCAGGATACAAATACTGGTAACCTTGTGTTGTTTGCATGAACTTTACTATCATCAATAAAAATTACCAAAATCTGAGGACTATTTTCATCCATCAGAATAATGTAGCTCCCCCACCCACCTTGAGACAGTTCTTGTTCTGTAGTTGAGGCTGGTCCAAAATTCATCACAGTTTAGGGGTTACAGAGAGTTGTGTACCCTTATGTGTATGCCAGGACTCCAACCCACATCTTCTGGAAGAGCAGCCAGTGTTCCTGACCACTGAACCATCTCTCCAGCTCCACACACAACATTTCTATAGTTCAGCTGGCTTTGAGTTTGTGGTAAGCCCCCTGCTTTATCCTCCTGAGGGTTAGGATGATAAGCATCCCAGCTGAATAATATAATTTGTAATAAAAAATTATTGTGGGTTATTACACAGTTATGTCTCTGTTTTTTACAGCCAATAGTGCTAAAGTGTAGATAAACTACAAGACAAATGGTAGCGAGGGCAATAGTTAGCATGAAGGTTTCCCTGGGAGATTTTTCTAGAAGCTATTTGGATTGTTACTCAAAACTTCAAGAAAATATCACAATATTCATCCTCCTTAGAGCCATGGGTGAATAGGGTTTAGCAACTAGAGAGACTTAATTAAATGAATTATCAACTCAGTTCACTTGTATGGGAAACCAGAATGGCTTCTTTCTTATCTCTAGGAAATGACTTCAAAGGCTTGAAAGATGCACTTATTTTTTCTTGAGTTAAGAATCAGTTTTGTTTCTTATACTGTAGCTTCTGCATCTGGCTATTTGATATGATCCAGATTTCAATTGCTAACAAACTGAAAGATACTGTTAAATTAACTTAGATATACTGCCTTTTGTAATGTAGAGAAATATTTTCTGCGAAGGTAACCCTTAAGTCATGTCTAAGAATGTTGTTTACTTTATGATCAACATCACAGAATCTTACAATTCAAATGGAAAAGCCAGCGTTCCCAGTATCTCCCCACACCAGCTAGAACAGCTGGACAACAATATAGTGATGTAGGCATGCTGCAGTTGTTAAACAGACCAGAGAACATCGCTAAACTTAGTGGCTATCACCACTTACAACAAAAATTTCCTTACACTTGTCTCCAAATGTCCAAATCAAAACTATGACCAAACTCAAGCTAACCACTCATTTCCAGCAGCAGTGATGAAAGTCTGAAGTCTATTCATTCATTCTTTGGCCCACATGTCTGATGAATCTCACGATGCCCGAGATTAGTAGGGTTCACATCTTACTTCCCATCAGGGATGCTATTTGAAGCAGGGTGTGGTGCAGCATGTCCATAATCTCTCCACTGGGGAGCTTGACAGTTTAACAACTACTAAGCTAGACTGCTCAGGAAGGGTTTCATCTCAGAGGTGACACTTCTCTCTTGTCTTTAGACTTTTAACTCTGTCTTAGATATCTACGAAAAATATCCTTGGGGAATAAAAGCTACACAAAGTTCAAGTCTTCTAATTCCACTATGGAAGCCCAATGTGCAATCTACTAATCATTTGAATTTCATTTGACGATTCAATGGAAAAACCAATTTATATTTCATTATGAATTATTTTACTTTGGTAAGGATAGAAACAAAAAACCCCCAAGATTCTGACATATTTGCACATACATACTCCTTACAGGGGTAAACAGATATTTGGGATGCATTATAATATTACGAGTGTATTTTATTGCTACAACAATCACAAATAAAACACCAACGCTGTGATCAAAAGCCACAGTAACAGGGTTGCAGGTAGATTTAACACACATTGCTATTTGAGCGTCCTCTACTTGGTTTTCTCTACAACAGCCCTCCTAGTGGACATCCAGTCTATGCATGAACATTCCTCCCTCTACCTGACCAGGTTTCTGGTTTTACTGGCAGATAGTTAGTGGTGCATGGGGAAGGTGAAGCTTGAATTTAGAAGGGATCCAGCCCAGAACCAAATGAGGATTAAAACAAAGCATCGCAAGGATACATCTTGAAAAGTTTCAAGTGTCACTGGAAAGCCTCAGCGCTTTCCATGTCAGCCAATGATACATGTACACAAGTACAAAGCAGAAACAACCATTCCCTGTGCCAACAGCACAGGCTCTCTTTGGTTTTGAGACTGAATCTTGCTTTGTAGCTGTCTTAGTCCCCTTAGTGCTCAGATTACAGGGGTGGGTCACCACACTCAGCTGGGACTAGGATTCTGGATAAGAAGCAAGATTAAAACTGTAGTGTATCTTCCCTGTACATCTCTGGCAGCTACAGCTAAAGTTACAGACTGGCTTGAGTTGACCACGGCAATTAGCAAGTCTGGGTAAAACCAAACAGACACATTCCTCAGCGATAATACAACAGCCTGCCAGTCACACAACAAATTTAAAGACCATAAAATTTATCCCTGTCATCTAACATTTTTCAATTTCTATAGGTAGAATTAAGTTACTCCTTTAAAATCTGGGAAACACCCCTCAGGCATTCCGCTTAGGTTTGAAAGGAAACCTAAAAACAACTTTGGTTTAACAACCTGATACTTGCATTTGAAAATGCTACCAGTTGTCCCAGGGTAATAGCTGGCAGGGCTGGTTGACAAGGGCAGGGCAGGGTCTGACCTAGCTGCAGTATGTGCGCACACATGTTCTTTGTAGTATGCTGAGCTACATACACCACCTCCCCGGGAAATGGCAAGTTACCTGTTTAGCAGCTCAGGGGAAAACATGTTTAAACATGAGTTAAACTGTGAACATTCACATATGCACCCAGTTCTCATATTTTAACAGTTTTCAGATTTCTCTGCTGGGGTATATACCATGGTCACATTCTACCTACATTCATATGAACCTTTTAAGATAACATTTCATGGAATTAAATAACCTTACCATCCAGAACTTTGTATTAATGAGTTATTCACATCTTAAAGCTGAAAATAGGAGCAGCATATTTATTTATTTATTTATTTATTTATTTATTTATTTATTTATTTATTTATTTATTTTGAGGCCAGGTTTATTATGTGTAGTCCTGGCTATCCTGGAACTCACTGTAGACTAGGGTGGCACTGAACTCAGAGACACACCTTTCTCAGTCTCCTGAGTGCTGGAACTAAAGGTGTGTGCCACCACACCTGGCTTATTTTATTATTTTTATTAAAAATTAAAACTGTTTCTCCAGCTCACAGTAGTGCATCTGAAAAGATAGGGCTTTCTAGGTCTAACACTTGAATATACAGCTCAACTCTTTTCATTTTTATGATACAGGACTTCACTGTGCAGTCCAGGTCAGCTTCCTCCTCGCGGTTTGCCTGCCTCAGCCTTTGAAGTAACGGGATTAGAAGTCTGCGCCCATACTTTTTAATATCCCACATATAAAAGTTGTTTTAGATGACATGTCCCCACTATTACCACAGCTACCTAACAAGGAAACACATGACTGTCAGTCAAAAATTATAACAAGCAACTTAACAGTTGTTTCAAGTTTTCCTTCTGTGCAAACCACAGCCTTACTTTTCATTTATTTTTATTATTTTCATTTGGCGAATGATTGTTGTACTTCCCAACATGATATAGTGATTCCCAAAACGACAGAATAATTAAATAAAAATGCAAAATAAATGTCTAAATTGAACTATTCAAAGTCCAGTCAACCAAAGAGGCTGTATGCTAAAACTAATCAAGCCATAACAAACTAAATTAGACAAGTGATAAAAACTGGAAATATTCATTTGGTTTTGGCCAGTTGCCTATATATTTATGAATGTGCCTTTTCTCTCTTTCACGTGGTTTAGGGCCCAAAGAAAGTAACTCCCAGGCTTTACATTGGCTGTAACAGTAGCAAATTCAGGTATAAAACATATTCAGCCAATAGCTGCTGTGTGGAGACCCACAAGAGGTTTCCTAGTGAGAACTTACTCAGGGGTCAGAAGATCTGGGATTGCTTTACCCAGCAGGGCTGCATGAGGAGATGATTTGGCCACGGGTATGTTTACCAGGTGTTTGGAAGTGTGGTGTGCTTTGATCTAGCAAGGGGGAGGTCTTTGCTCCTCTTCTTGGCATGTTATAAAAAGCCCTTTTCAATAAAGGACGAGGCTGTTGGGTATTGATCCAGGCCTGCCTGCCCCCCCCCACCTTCCCCCACAGCTATCCTGTGTTTCTGTCTTCTCATCGTCTAGGTCTCTCTTTCTGATATTTCTTCATTCCTCTCTCCTCCACCTAGGAACCCTTCAAAAAGTGGGAGCTGGACCCCCACACTGCTGGACACTCCCAACTGACTACCCTTGTACAGTTTTGTTTCTGATGTCTTCTGACATGCCTTCTTTTTATAAAGGAACTAAAAAGATGACAAATATTTTCAGAATGTCAAACTCGCTTTATTAGTGATTATCTTCCATCTCTACTTGAGTACCTTTAAATGACCTTAAGAGGAGTTCTCCAACTCAAAAAATATACAAAAATTATTTCATACACATTTTTATATCCTTGAAGTTAGGGTAAATTGGGATGTTTAACACTACTTTCCAGAATAATACCTGAAAGAGATGACACCTTAGACATGTTTAGTTACATAGCAGAATTCATGTTTAAAGACCAAACTTAAGCCTGTCCTGTTACTCAGTGCCTGTTAGTTTATGTATAGGTAAATTCTTCTACTGCTCACCAGGAGAAAGTTCCTAAGATATTATCATACTAGGGCTCAATTTAAAAAATACTACTTTATTATACTACTACTTTTTGTAAATTTAAACTAAGAGAGGCTGCTACTTCAGGGCAGGACTCTTGCCTCCTCATCTGTTTAACACCTTTACCTAGGCTCTTTATTCACACTGTCATATTACCCTGAGACCAGCACTGTGAGGTTGCTGATCTAAGTGTGAACTGCTAAGATCTGATGTTGTGAACACACAGATTTTAAGATGTCATACATAACAACTCAAAAGTTAACTCCATCTCTTTCCTTTCCACAGGTGCCATGCCATCCAGACTGAGGAAGATCCAGCAACTCTGTGGCTACGTGAGCCAGGGCCATAGCCAATAAGCAGGCATCACAAGCACCCAGAAGGCCAAGGTAATGATGGATGCATGTGTCACCACAGGATCAGCTTAGACAAATGACATCATGTGACTTTGGTAAAGTTGGTCAGTGGTCTTACCACTTAAAGAGGAACCAGAGCTTATGTCCACCTGCCACCCGTGGTAAACTGTGGATCTTGTCAGTAAACAGACATGAGTAAACGCTGCCCCCGTCACCAGTGTGGTATGGAGTTCTGGGGAAGGAAAAGTCACCTAAGCAGCCCTCACTGTGAAGCCCAAAGTCTTCAGAATAGCCAAAGAGAAGATGAACTAAATTGGTCACTTGTGTCCTGGTGGCTTTAAGCCACACAGGGAGCAAACAAACAACCAAGAGAGATAACTCTAATTCTAGGAGTCTATCCTAAAACTAATTAGAAATACGAACACTTTTGAAAATATATTTATATTGATGCTGTTTAAAACAATCATCAGAAACAATTAAATATTTAAACTATGACATACAAATGACAGAACACCATTTCATTGAAAGTATTTCTAAATAGTAGCCAGGCAGTGGTGGTGCACACCTTTAATCCCAGCACTTGGGAGGCAGTTAGGTGGATCTCTGAGTACAAGGCCAGCCTGGTCTATAGAGTTAGTTCCAGGACAGCCAGGGCTACATAGAGAAACTGTCTTAACCCCTCTTCTCGTGAAAAAAAGTTTCCAGACACTTATTAATGATATGAATGGGGGTTACTGTATCATGTCAATGAGAAAAGACTCTTAAGTTATATGACTATGAGTTAACTATTGTTTAAAAAAAAATACCAAAGAAAAACAGTAAATAAAACGTCTTTTCTAGTTAAAATTGAGAAATTATGTTCTTCTTTTAATATTTTTCTGAATTTTTATAGATGTGTGGTAACAAATTATCTGTATAACCAGAAAACAGCAAGAACTGCTTTACCAGTCTCTCCCACATAAATAAAACACTAATCCTTATAATTAGAAATCACTGCACAGTAGGTAAAAGTACCACTTACTTCATCATCGTCGTCAGGAACTGGTTCATATAAAGATGGTACCCAAGCAAGAATGTTGCAGTCTCTGCTACCGCTGTACAGTTCCTGTAATAGAGAAAGCAAAGACTGACTGCTGATCAATTTAAAGCTGGTATCATGAGGAAACGGGATGTATCCATTTTGAAATGATCAGACTAAGTAGGTTAATTAAGTTAGGCTAGATTAATTCCATTAATTTCATTTCTATTCATTAAACAAAATAGGATGATGCTCTTCAGTTTTTTTAAATGTGATGTCTTTAAATTCTGTGCAGGTCATTGGTGTAACTTCTTAAGAGATGCTACAAATCTTTTGGCTATATCCTGAGACTTCATTCTCCAAAAGTATTGTACTAATTTGTATCTTCTATAGATGAGAGTATCCACTCCACTGTCCTACTGGAATCTTTTCAGGAATAGCCAATATAATATGAAGTTGTATTTTATATTATAAAATAATGCCAGGATATGTTAGAGCTTACAAACAATGAGAAAATCTTACAGAAATTCAATGCCTTACTAGCTTTGTCAATATTCACAAGCGTATTTCTCTAACACTAAAAGTGTTAGAGAAAGAAAAATACATAATAGCTTTTCTTTGCCAAAAACTGAGGCATCTACAATATTGACTTCAATGAAGAGAACACGAGTTTCTAGGAAAACAAGCCAAAAGTTCCATTTAGCTTACAGCTGTCTACCTGGCTGTTCTTCAAAAGCTTCAAGACTCCACCCTGTCTGCTGAGACATTTACTACATAGAGGACCCGTGGGCTGATGCAGTGTGTGTCAATGTCTTTATGGAGATGCTGTTTGCTCCCACTGAACAATGCTCACTCCCTTCGCCAAGAAACTGAAAACGTTCTCATCATGTAGTAAAGTAAATACACGGTGTTTTCCAATGTGTTCAGTGACTAAATCTTTCTGAGTCTGAAGCAGATAAAGACATGGTATTTGGCTGAGAGTGTGGCACATGACTGCAATCCAAGCACTGGGAACTGGAGGCAGGGGGATTAGGACTTTGAGATTATTCTTGGCTTCACAGCAAGTTTGGGGCCAGCCTGGTCTACATGAGATCTTGTTTCAAAACATAAAGTAGAACAAACCAAACCAACACAAGCAGAGCATTTCCCAGGTGACAGCCCATCCCAGGGGTCTGGCTGAGGGCAATCTCTGTCTCAGAATATTTTTTTTGTTTTTAGTTTGAAACTTGTTAGGTGGCCCAGGCCAACTCTGAACTCCTGACAATAATCCAGAATGATGCTGGGATTATAGGTGTCTGTGTCACCACACCCAGCTTACTTGGTGCTGCTTGTTTATATATGTGTTTTGCCTATATGAATGTATGTGTATCATGTGTGTATCTGGTAACAGAGGAAGCAAGAAGAGGGTATCACATTCCCTGAAACCAGAGTTATAGATGGTTAGGAGCTGCGATGTGAGTGCTAGGAACCCAGATCCTCTGTGACAGTAGCAAATTTTTCACTGCTGAATCGTCTCTCCAGACCCTTCTTGGTACAGTTTTAACCAACTCCTAGACCTCTTTGCTAATAAGCTCCTGCCTAGAAGAACATCATACTTTGTAGTCAGAATATCTTGTTTAAAATTTTGGTTGTGCCTCAGAGGGACTGTTTTCTTTGATACAACAGAAATGGAGAAAAGTAAGGACATTAAACAAAATTTGTATGTGCTATGGCAATCTTCATTGCAAACTTGACTGGCTTTGGAATCACACTGAAACACTTCTAGTTGTTTCTATGCAGATGTTTCCAGAAAGGCTTGTTTGCTGAGGGAAGCCCCACCATGAATGTGGGTGCTATCATCCCGGAGGCTGGGGTCCTAGACGGAACAAAAGGAGAAAGCGAGGCAAATGTCAGCATTCCCCCTTGCTCTGCCTCCTGCCTGCTGATGCAGAGACCACCTGCATCATGTCCCTGCTGCCTGACTCCCCCGCCATCACAAACTGTGTACTTTCTAACTGAAAGCCCAAATAGACTGTTCCCTCGTGAAGCTGCTTCTGGTTATGGATTTTGGTCACATTAACAGGAGAAGTAACTAATGTAAGCACTGAAGTTGTTTTGTGGGGCTCTTGAGGTGGCTCAGTGAGCAAAGGCACTTCCTGCAAAGCCTGATTACCCAAGTCTGATCTCAGGACCCACAGGATGGAGGGAGAATCAATTCCTGTAAGTTAGCCTCTGACCTCCACATACAAGCCCTCATGTGCCCTCCCACACACAAATACACAAATGTGAGAAATTATGTGAGTGGCATTAATTCAAAGGTACACTTTACTAGCCATTTCAGTATCTAGCCATTGCAAAGACATACTTGTATCAGCCTCTGGCAGGAAATAAAGAAATGAAGTAATTGATTTCAGATTTCAATACAGTCACACATGATAAACCAAGATATACTATATTTTTAAATTAAACATATATAGTTTATATATATATATTATATATTAAAGGACACACACACACAAAGGATTATTCATGAAAAAGTATTTGATTACAGTTCAAATGGTTAAGTGGAGCTCATATTCAAAGGGAAAGACAACATATCCCAATCGATTGCACAGTATTGTACTGATTCATACACACTTCCTATGCCATCTGAGAATCAGGCTCTATTAATCTCTATTGAAGAAATACGACTTCAAAGGTGAATTGTTGGTATCACACTCCAGAATGATTAAAAGCATATAATACTTGAAAATAGATCAGAACTTCCTGTTTCATACACTACTAGTCTGGCACACCAGCCATCTACTCATTTTCAATTCCCATCAGTATCATTCTCACCTGGAAGTGAGGCTGGAACACACAGCAGTCGACACTTTTATAATGGCCCTTAAGCAGAGTTAGCTGCTCTCCTGAGTAAACTGCATAAACAGCAATGGTGCTACCGTACGGAACAAAAACAAATTCTGAGCTGCAGCCACAGGAGACGGTGAATTTCAGTCCTTTCCTACTGTCATTACAAACTTTGCCATAGTTCACCTGCAGAATTAAAATCATAATGTTACTCATTTTTAAGTCTCAGTTAAAAAAGCAACAAAGACTGAAAAAAATACTTCTTTCTCTTATTATCACATTATATAGAGAGGGCCTTTAAATTTAAAGAAACTAATGTCTTAATAAAAACAAGAGTCAATGATACAAACACACATTTTATATTTGAGGAAATAGAAATTGTGAATAAACCCACAAGGGAGGGATGATACAACTAAGTCAAACTTGAAGAATTACTCCCAACTGTCAAACTTTCAAAAACCCCCCCTCCCCCACCTCTCCTTTTGGTACCTGAAGACAAAGCTCAGGGCCTCATGGATGCTAGGTGAGACCTCTAACCTTACTAAATTCCCAGCTTCTGGTTAGGCTAAAATTTTAAGAAACCTTCAAATTGACAAAAAGTAAGGAGAACATGTTACTGGCATCATAATTTGGCTATTCCTTCAAACAAAACAAATGGTTTAGTACAAAAAAATAGCAAGATGTCTCTTTTGGGTGGGCTGAACTTTTCATAAGAATGTGTTGTGACAAAACCAACACGCTGTACATGGGACTACCACAATCACTCTAAGTGTGCAGGTGAATGGTCCAATCTTCACTTCTATCACAACTAACTCACTGACAATAACAATATCCTTACTTCTTGATCTAGTAATTACTCCTGGGAATTTCTCTTAAGGAAACACTTAAGCAGCAGAGAGTAATATGCCCAGAGGACTCAACACAGCACAATGGCAAACAACTGAAAATTGAGATAAGCTTGTGCCTCTAGCCACCCTGTGGCAGCAGCAGTGAAGTACATGGAACACTGGACTTGGGTTTTAAAATCTCTTTGTTAGAGGGTCACTCAGATCTAACCTCTAAGTGCTGGTCCTCTAATCTGCTAAATGGAACCACCACCATTTCCCATAGTGCCATTGTAAAAACACAAATGACATCATGCACATGAGAGCACCTGGGAAGTGAAGGTAGCCAGCTGTTATGTCCAGACGTATTAATTGAGAAGAATTACTTAGGAAGAACACTCTTTCACTTCCACCTGATGAGCCAGTCTGTACCATTTGACTATGGGGAGGTGTGGCTCTAGAAGCTAGAGTGGGCCATAATCAGGGGTGGGCAGGAGCTTAGGGGTGAGGGGAGAGCCGAACACACACATAGGAAAGATTACTGCTGGTTAACATGAGAACGGGGAAAGGAACAGGAGGAGGAGGGAGTTGGGTTAGTGAACACTAAGGCTGTCTGAAATATCCTTATGCAGACCTACTACTAAAGGACTTTGAACACAGGTACCATGCATGGGTGGACACTGCCTCCCACAGAAGACGCAGTGAAGTAAAAATCTCAGTGCCAGACATGGGATACTTTCCTACAAGTTACTGGTCATCAAGACTCCAAAGGTCCTTAAAGCAACAAAGAATATAGTATAGCTATTGCTTTTGGTTGCCCATCATAATGGAATGATCCTATTACTGAAGATGCCATTCATTTTGGATGCATACATAGAGAAACCAAGTTAGAACTGATCCAAAAACTTCATCCATGCTAGTGAGCTTTTATAGTGTTGGAAGGTGCTATGCAGGCTTCTGGGAGAGAAGAGTTACTAATGGTATTACCCAGTGATGAACCCTGAATGCAATAACACCAACCTGCCACGGCAAATGTGCTCACTGGAGTAATAGCAGCATGAAAGATCCTTGCATAATCAACTATTTTCTGAGTGGATTTGAGGCCAGCCACTGTTACTGCAAACCCGATCAGAAGTCTATGGCTGTGGGAATCATACGTCCTAGAGGGGATCTACTATTACCAAGTGGACATGGCATCACACAGCCTTCTAAATATTAGTGTTTACACCCATAGTTCAGTGCTGCTCTCAATCTTGGTCAGCAGGAGTGCAAAAGCTCAGAACTGACCGAGTGCTGAGAATAAGTGACTGCTGCATGCTTAGTCACGCCAATGGGACACCTGTA